TCTAGTGTAAATGTTTGCGACCGTTGTATTTATCGGAATCGGTGGTTTATGCATCTAAAGAAAGAGGAAAGCATTATTTGATAGACAGGTCTGACTGGAAAATGGTTTCGGATAAGTTATGATAACCATGCGGCGGGACACAAATAATTGATTTTTTTTTATCAAAAATTCGAACATTTTAATTTCAACGAAAAGTATAGGCCCAACGTTTCTAACAATATGAAACTGCCAGATTCTATTTGGTCGTGAATAACGATTACTACTGACTATTTAAATATCAACTATTTGAATTTTAAGGGTTCTTACCTTTCAGATCATCTATTAATGATGATTCTCAAATATTCCGAACATCAGAGTTGTAAAATTTCAAATCTACTTAATAGTCATAGTGTCCTAAATCTATAATCACCACCCAGGGCTCTCGATTGTTTTCAAGAGTGCCGAGGGCTAATTATTTTTCGCAGACAGTTATTTCTATCAGTCGATATGTGCCATGAAAAAAATTGATTGATGTCTCTTTCGTTCGCTAGTTGCTATCGTTGATTATTTTGTTTCTTTAAATTAATTCAATTATGATCACTCATCCATTCTGACATTCATTCAAAGAACGGCGGCGGATACGGCTATTTTCTTACTCCCAATAAAATCCAGTTTTTTTGGAATGAACTTAGGTATAAGGCCTGATTATATTTTATACATCGATTTTGAAATGGCTAAAAAACATTTCGTACCTGTGGTCCTTCAGCAGAATCTCGAAAAATTTTTTTTTTGATTAAAATAAAATATATGCTTATCGACAGAATCAAGTGTTCTGATTACGAATATCACTATTAACAAGTCCATAAATGGTTTGTTAGTTAAAAATATCATAACATATCTAAATAACCATTAAGTTAAAACGCCAGTTTTTAGCTTCCCAGTCTGTGACTTGATCCTAGAATCTGTGAGAAAATGTCACCATATATGTAACACTATACGTTCTATCTGGAAATGAAAAGAAGCTCATTTGCACACACTGATTTAGTCTAATACTTTGAGATTAGGGGTTCCAGTTCTCTTATTGTCATGCCGTATGGTATCTTAGAACTCCTGCCTCTTTATCAAAGAGGCCAGAAGCAATGTTAAATTTTGGCAATATATGTAATTTTTTATGCGCTATCGATCTGCAGTATTTAAAGAACGAAAACAAAATGGTGCGTCATGGTTAAAAGTTGTAAAAACCTCAGGTTTTCAATATTTCAATAAGGAAATTTTTCACTCCTAATCTCAAAATATTAGACAAAAACAATGTATGCCAATAGTTTTCTGTTCATTTTCAGATAGACTGTATAATATTACTTATATTATGTATAAATCTCGCACAGATTCTAGAGGCTAAATGATCGATTGGAGGACTAAAAGCTAAGTTTTTAGCTATTGACATGATGTTCGAGTATTAAGACTTTTTTTTTACTAACAAAGCATTTATGCGCCTTCTAATAGTGATATTCGTAACCACCAGACTCGATTCTATCGATAAGCATGCATTTTATTTCACTCAAAAATAATTTTTTTTAGAGGTTCCGCTGGGGATCACAGGTACGAAATCATTTTTTGAGCTGTTTCAAAACTGATGCATAAAATATGATCAGGACCCATACCTAAGTTCATTCCAATAAGAAAAAAACTCGATTTTATTGGGTGGCAAGAAAATAGCCTTATCCGCCTCGTCCTTTATTCTGTTTATGTGTTTTGCATCTAAGAAGATGACCGCAGATCACTCTGATGCCACTAAGCACATTGTACTCTGCGAGATATGATTCAATATATGCTATATATAGCGGATTGGCAAAGCCATCCATTTTATGTAACAGATTTGCCAGATACTAGCACTATTTACTCTGTTAGCTTTGACAGACAATATATATTAACTACAGAATTTGATAGATACACTGCACTACCTGTCAGACTCGACAGACAGTATATATTCTGTACTAGATTTAAAAGATATTTTGCGCTGTCTGAAAAATTTGCCAGAACTGTAAGCGCTACTAAAACTTTCGCAGGGAAATAACAAGAAAACTTTCGCAGACGCGGGAAAAAAGTGCCAGGGCTAGCTTTCGGCCTTTCTCTACGCATCGAAAGACCTCTCACCAGTATTTACTAGCATTCAAATATTATTTTCGGCAAGAAACTTTTTAAAAATAACGTCTTCTCTAATCCATTACGTTTTTGAAGCGATGACAGATGCAGTTACTTACTAATTGTTTCTTTTGATGCTCTTCAATCGCATTGACTGGTTCTTCAGTTTGCGTATATGTAGACGAAATACTCAATGGAGCATGAGCCATTATATCCATGAAATCTTCAAATGTGGAAAAATGGTTGTCAATTTTCTCAATATTGTCAAGATTTTGTGGTGTTTTCATAAATTTAGAAGTTTGATAGTAGTGAGTTCCCTGTCTTTGCCAAAATTCAGGAAAATAGTCTTTTGAATCTGGCTCAGCCGCTGCTTTTAAGGACGTGTTCTCGTTATTTGTATTATAAAAGTGGTTTGTTCTAAAATCAAAAAGAAAATTACACAAAAAATATGTATGTTAATGCTGAAACAATTTTGCAAATTGATATGAAACTTACTGAAAGCGTATTAATGAGAGAAGATAATATGTCGTAGAACTTCTTATATAAATATATGTTCTTTTTTTCTTTCTTTTTGTTTTATATAACTGATTCATAATATATCTATACATATTCATTCGTGAAATATACTTGAAAAAAAATTGGTAATCGGCTTATTTGTCAAAAAAGGACGCACGATTTTGTTGATGAAGAATGGATAATGAAAATTCCATTAAGAAAAACGTCCTAAAAATTAGGATTTTTGATCGGTCGATATTTTGGCTCAAAACAACTAGATCGTTGGACATTAGAAAGCTTCGTCCAAAAGTCGTAGAAATTGGAGATTTCTGCTAATTTTGTGTGGTTTTTCAAACTGGATAATCTATTACAAAAACTATTCTTCTTTGGCACTGATTTGAACGTTGGTCTTACCCAAGCAGTCAGAAAAGTTAAATTAACGCATTATAACGACCGTTTTGCGTTTTATCTTGTAACGCATTTTACACAGTCAAAAATGTCCGAATTTTGGCGTTTTAACAATAACATTTTTTTCAGCTTTCACATCGTTAAAATGGTAGAAGAGACAAACGATTAAAACGCGTTTTCGAGATCAACGGTTTAAAACGCGTAAAATCGGACATTTTTGACTGTGTACAACGCATTCAAACTAGGGAAGAATAGATATAACCCACATACCTTAATATTACAAACAATATTAAAATACAGTATTTCGGCTTGTCCAAACGTAACTCTGTTACGTTTTTGACACACTCTTCTTCAATTATCTCGGAAAGTTTAAGGGCTAGGAAGTTCGTTCAAACGTCATTCGACGCAGCTTATCAAGCTCTCTTTATCCCATAAGGATGACCTTTTTTGGCTGAAGTCTCAGACATCTAGAAAGGTTTTATCATGCCGTAACGCTGTTACATAAAAAGACCCTTTTTTCCAGTACCATCGAGAAAACTCTAATTTCTTGCAAAACCATTTCTTCAAACGTAATGCTTCGAGAGTCAGTTTTGTAGAGCATTGAATAGGCTTTCAGGCAGTAAAAAAGATTTTCTCTAAAGCATTTTTGTTCAGATCAAATATGCAAAAAACAAACGTAACGCTGTTACGTTTTTCGTAACGCTGTTACACAGTTTTTTGTTGACCGATTTTGAGGCGCTTAATGTTCTCAGAATGAGTTGATTTTTATAAGTGTTACTGTTTTCTATGCGGATACTCTCCTATGCAAAAATGAGATTGATACATCGATCTAAGAGCTTATAAACTGAGCAAGAAATTGGAAACTATATAGGAATCTCCAATTTGTTCTAAGCTACGAAAGTCAAAACTAAATAGACCATTTTGTAGAGAATTTAATTCTGCATCGAATGGTATGTCTCTTGACATTGATTGCAAAACTTTTCTGGTTAAAAAGTCCAAAATACGGTTTTTGAAAAGTTTAAAACCCGATTTTCGATAACAAAATCTAATTTTTATACAAAATAAATATCAGATTCGTAATCAGCGTAAAAATCTGCATCTAGCAACTCACTCAAATCTGTCCAACTCGAAAACAAATTTTTTCAAAACTTGATCAGCGAAGTGTCGCGTTACGCGGACAAGCCGTATTACACTATGTGACCAACTATATTGTACTATTCTCCTAAGTAGGTAATCACCAGTGATTCATAGAATCCTTTGCTTTCGCTGCTCCATTCTCTCTCCTAGCGGAGAGTGAAATAATGAGTAAAAGAGAGAAGAAAAACACTGGAATAGAACAAACGGTAGGAGAAGGTACAAAAAGAAGAAAATCGTTTTACACCAGTCACAGAAGTATGCATAGTTTTTCTTTCTATTTTCATCTTTTACTGACAAGTTGTATTTAATTACTTTAGTATTAGCGACTTTTTAGTCGGTATTCAGTAGTTTTCGAATGCGAATCAGACTTTTACCCAAGAAATAAATACACATTCGGAATGAGCAGTAAATACGGAGTTAAGTTAAGAATATTTCAAGTTGGCATGACAACCTTCTTTTTTGACAGTGATACATAATCTGTAGCTCTCCGACCATAACCTCGGGTTGGGTATATAGTGTGGGTGTACGAATATTCTTCTCAAACTAGGAAGCAAGTTCACTCACACCAACATTCATATTCTCTAGCTATGATCGAACATAAAGGGACATAGTGCTGATTGCAACTAAATAATGAAGAATGAAAGGAGTTAAAGCAAATCACAAACATTAAAGCACATAAAACAATGAGTCATGAGCTACAGTTTGCCGGATCGAATTACTTTGGTATGGAAAAAAATATATAGAACATTGACGAACGAGTAACTTGAGAGGTGTAGAACAGAACAGAATTGGACAAACATGTTGCCATTTCACGTCGCTCATCCAATTTGTTATTATTCTTACGATCTATGCACATACAAGATATTACGAAATCGTTGAATAGTACGTTGAATCATTGTAGTTAATTCATCTTTGTACTTTTTTGATGGTAATATAAATACTATGAATGTGATCATGGATGGAATAAAAGAGATCAAATAACCAAAGAGATATAACCATGGATTTCGGGATGATTGCATACATCCGCTAATAAATGACATGATTAGACGAGGTAAAGCCAATAATACTAATGCACATGATACAAATATATGATTTTTATGTTGATGAAACTGTTGTCGTAAATGTTCTATGAATGGTGTTCGAGTCTGAGCTTGGGAACGAGAACGAGCCATTGAAATAATAATGAGTATGGTAGAAATTAGATTGATTAAGAAAGGCACAAGAAAATGAAAAAGAGTAATGAATGTATTGAAGATATTGAATGCCGTAGAGTATCGAGCTAAACACCAAGTTCGCTGTTCATCAGCATCGAAATCATCAATCAAACGACGATGTATACGATCGTGAATATGAGTGAGGATTGTCAGAAGAAATATGCATAGAATCATTCATTTAGCCATTTGTTTACTTTTAACTTTATTGAATCTAACACCTTTAATAACTATAACTACTCGTTCGAGAGCAACAAATTCATAAAGCCAATCATTCGATGTCACAAGAACTTTAAGAATCATATCTAATATGGTACAGTTGAGTGTAATATATGATCGGTTGGTAAGAATTGATAATTGTGATAAAACTAACTGCCAAAATTTGATTAGTAGTACAATGATTAGACACAAAGAATTGCATGATGAAATAAAAAGATATAAAGTACAACCAGTTATTCGTATTTCTTTTCTATGAAATGTTATTATAGACAATACTCCATTGATCAATCCCAAAAGAAACATAACCATTGTTACAATGATACTCATTTTAATAACGAATGGTTGTCGATGAAATAAAATATTTGGTTTGATATGATAACCGAGAATATAATCAAGAGATAATACAAAACCTCTTGTAGAAAACTGACATTTTGTGCCATAATAACATTCTGGACATACACAGATCGATAAAGTAGGACACGTAACATTGTCTTGAAAATATAGACCACTATTTTCGCAAACATTGTCTCCTTGACAATCATACGTAACGGTGTGATTAAATGTGAAACAATTCGAAAAACGATTAATATCGCATATACACATATATCTTTCATCATAGAAGCATTTGAGGTGTTTGTTTTTTTGACATAAATGAGGATAATATTTAACACGACGGAGAAAATAATAATTTATATAAGTAGTATTCATTAATTCACTTATAGAGAAACATCGATAATTCGATAATAATTTTGTTTGAATATATTCTGATTCAATGGATTTTTCTCTGAATACGGCCAAATAGTAAGTTTTATTAGTTAGCTCAATAAGAAGAATATTGAATGGATTTGTTCTGAAGACTAATTATATTTTGTTCAAATTTGATCTTTTTCAAAATTGTATTTCGCTGATGATTGTCATTTTCAAATGCAGTAATAAAATTTACAAATAAAAATGGCATCATACCAATCTTCTCATCATTAAATGTAATATCAATTCGATTTTTGATATTCTCACATCTTGTTCCATAGAAACTTTCTGTACATAGACATGCAAAATTATTCAAAGCGATACTATCATCAACAGATATACAAAGTCCATTGTTTTGACAAGGATTTGATGTTTGACATATTAAACTTTTTAAATAACATTTTGAACCAAATTTATTCATTGGACAAACACAAATAGATGATGTAAGACAATATGAATCAGATGAACATGAACAATTATCTTTAATAGTACAGTGCGAACCAGAATATCCTTCATTACATTGACAAAAATATAATCATTTTTTATTTATATATTCCACACAACGACCATGTTCACCACAAAATAAAGGACATAATGGTGAAATCATTGTTGTAGTTTGAATAAATAGTTGAGTAGCAATTCGATTAACCGGTAGAAATTGAAATGGAATAGATAAATACCAACTTTCCAAATATGTTAATGTTATTTTATCAAATATATCAATATGTCTTGAATAATTGGCAAAGGAATTCTTAGGCTGATTTGGATAAAGTAAATAAAGATTATATTTTGTACCACAGTCACGTTTTGGTGAATACATGATTTGTTCATGATATGATATGATTTGTCATTGTTCATTGATCAGCATAATAATTACAGTGAGGAATCAAAAAAGCATGTACATTTTTGTTTTTACGCATAAACGAATAATAGGGATACTCTGAAATTTTCTCTGCCACCGAACCTTGTAGAACTTTTTTCGCTGATCATTTTGATGAAAAAAAATTTTGATTTTCATGGAGTAATGACGATGTTATAGTCAAAATACTAAACACTGTAACATAAAGTAGGGAAAAAAGTTTAGCACACTTTTAGTATTTGGCTAATGTTTACGTTATTTCACAACATCTGAAAGATGCTCTATATACCATTCGACGTAGAATTTAATGGGCTACATTTTGGTAACAAGCATTTATACTCATATTGCAGTTAATTAATTAATTAATTAATAATTAATAATAATTAGAAATTAATTAATAAAATTTTGATTTATTTTTAAATTCCAACTCTTTCATATGAAAGAGCATAAAAAACTGAACAAAACTCTACATATGAGAGAAAATTTTCAGAGTATCCTTATTATTCGTTTATGCATAAAAACAAAAATGTACATGCTTTTTTGACCCCTCACTGTATCTGAAAAGCTGCGATAGTATAAGTATGAGCACGACGTACCAACTGAACTGTTAAACTAACTCGTTGATTTTGCCATTGACATCGTTCATCGAAGTAACTAGGTGGACATAAACATTTTTTTGTTTTGTTATCATTAAAATAAACGAAAACTCCTCGATTACAATACCAACTTTCTTTTGTATTATTTTGTGGCGTAATAACTGTTTCTTTTTTAATTTTGAAGTTATCTCTATGAGATAATATAGTTGAATTTTCTGGAAACTTTCCCAATTGCGATGATATTAAAAAAGACTTTTCTAATTCTTTTCTACGTAAAACTTGTCGTAAAAAAGGGCAAATATTTCCTTTAATTAAAGGTGCCCAATATGGCCTTTGTGCTTGGCAGAAATATTCATTGAAAATGAAACACGCTCCAATAGATTTTTGTTGTACTCTTAAGTAGTAACACATTTCTCCTGAAGAAGTACATTGAGTATCATGTGAAAAACACTCTATGGTATTTTTATTAATCGTAGTATTTGAAGATTTGTCATGTTCAGTGTAAATAACTTCACAATTTAAATACTTTCTCATTAAAATCATTAATGGAATACAAAACATGTTCGTCAACAACGTTTTGGGACATTGAACGTCATTGGATTGACATTTTAGTTTTGGACAATTAAGTCCATCGGTACCATTGGCACAATTTCGAAAACTATTACATCGAACATAAGGGTTATTACATGGCCAATGCTCACAATTCGTTTCATCGGTTTCATTCGATTCCACTAATAACGGATGGTTTTGGTTATCACATAATAGACCAAACGGAATGTTTTCTTTTAAAATAGTGAGTCCATTTTCAATGATTTCATCCTCTTTACCTTTACAATCATTGTTACCATTGTTTAGTGCTATTGGCGATAAGCATTTGTTTCTTTCAGATTCACAAATAAATCCTTGTGAATCGTTCAATTGACAAGTAGGAAATGATTCGTCTTCACCAAAATAACAATCAGAAATACCATCAAGAAGGCGATGTTTTGAAATACATTTCATTGAAACTGGACAATGAAAAAGTGATCGATGTGAACATGATTCTTCTATACCAGTCGTTGTGCAACGAACAAACAGTTTTTCAACAGCAGCACCGACTTTGTTGATAATAAATGATGATTTGTTAGTTAGTTCACTAGAAGGACAACAAGTGAGTCCATTGTTTAGTACGATATCTACGGCTGATTTGGTGAATACAGGACATTCTTTCGGATTGAAACAAATAAAATTAGGCTTTACGAATGAGAGAAAACCATCAACTAATCGATCAGGTAAATAAATAAAGTGGAACTTAGAATAAGCGAAAGGCATTTCAGCCTTAAAAATCCATTGTGATAAAAAACTTTTGTCTATAGATTCGCAAGATATCATCTTATAGTACGATGTTGTATCTATTAATATTTGAATGAGAGAAAGTGCACTCCAGGCTAATGTGAAATTGAATAATTCATTTAAGAGCCATTCAAATTTATCAGGAAAAGATTTCAGTCGATATCGAGCTATTTGTACATGTCGACCATTGAAACATGAATATAAAGGATGCGAAACAATATCAATAAGATGATGCTGACCGTCACTACATGGAAAAGAACGAAGATATCGGCTAGTACGCGGGTGTGGGTGTGGGCGTGGGTGTGGGTGTGGGTGTGAGTGGGCGTGGGTGTGGGTGTGGGTGTGGGTGTGGGTGTGGGTGGCTGTGGTTGGTGTGAGGATCGAGACATATTGTAAATCAAAATACCAACACCCACAGTCACACCCCGGTTCTTTCGGAACTGTTGCTGTACTCTACATAAAAAACATCCACATGATGTTTGTAATCCATCAAGGGCAATTTGCAATTAGTGACTTACTCGATAAAATGGTCAATCGTTTTATTTTAAACAATTCTGAAGGATAATTGAAACTTTATTCAGTTTTACATGTAACACTGTAATTTGTGTTCATCATTAA